ACTAAAGAATCCTAAAATATAACAAAAGGATCCCTCACTAAAGTTTATAAGAAAACAAAGAAAAGAAATCATAATGTGCCTGGGGGCACATAACATATGTGTATGTATATGTATGTGTATATATATGTGTATGTATATATATGTGTATAAATATGTATATGTGTATATATGTATGTATATATATGTGTATGTATATATATGTGTATATATATGTATATGTGTATATATATATATGTATGTATATATATGTGTATGTATATATATGTGTATGTATATACACGATAAAACACAGTATATCACTTCCAGCTACATAATTATCTTTTATTGTATATTACCTTGACCTCCATGTAATGAAAGTCTCAGTAAGTTAAAGTAACATTAAAACAACGAACAAAAAAGAAAACTAATTTAGTGAAACTTGAATAGTTTCTCTGTCTTTTTATTCAGGAAAGTGGCTAAAGATGTGTTTTTACCGGCAATACTTTAAAGTAATATTACTTAATTAAAAAAAAAAAAATCACGGTTCAATTGTATTAGTTACTTGCTTCTAAGCAGTTGAATTGTTTACCATCATTGGCCACTTTATTAGGTACGCCTTGTCCAATTGTTTTGTTGCATTTAGACCAAAGACTTCCTGCCAAACTGAGCTGAGATCTGTCTTGGACAGTTTGAAGAGGTTTTTAACAGCAATCATTAAAGCCATCAATAGGACCTGCTGAACCAAATCGGAATGAACCATCTTAGAACTTAAAATTAGGGTAGATTCGGTAGCTTCTTCATATCAGCTGGAATGAGCAGGGTGAGATATAGTGGGAAGTCTCCACTTCTTGGAGTCTATAATTGGTGTTCTGCTCCATCTTGTAGGGCTCATTCTTCCAGATCTGTCTGCAAACGATAACACCACGTCCATCCATCTATCTGATGAGCTTTGCTGCTCATCATTGCAGCTCATTGACCAGGATCCATAGACCGGGCTGTCTGGAGGGGGAAAGAAGATAAGATCAAAATGGATCTTTGCTGTGTTCTCAGCATCTATCAGGTTATGTTTGATACTAATAAAGCCAGTGATTATGATCTGAAATACAGTCTGTATACTAGGGGAGGAGTAATCATTCACGGCTATGTAGTTTCTCATTAGAAAAACACCAACAGGTGCCTGTTCTCAGTGATCATTGACCACTGGAGGAGTTCTGCCCCTTAAAAAAAGACCCATTCAAATTTTCTTGCCAAAAATAACTATTGAATTCTATAATAACTTTACTGGAATTGACAAAGATATCTAGATTCTAGAAATGTGCGTTTTGGCATTCAACTGATTTAAATTAAAAAGAGAAACTAAATATTGAAGCAACTCTTCAGCCTTTTTCAATAAGTTGTGGATGATTTGGACAGCTGTAGGCAGGGAGGATCTTCAGCAGCAGGTTGATCTGGAAAAGTCTTTGACTAAAGACACTGCTGCTAAAAATATGACAAAATAAGTAAAAATGTTGCTTCATATAAGCATATTCACCCTTACATTAAGTAGTCAAATGAGATGATCTATCAATTGAAGTATTATTTTACCCTTAAAATAGGATAATTATATTGTATGCACTTGAAAAAAGATATTACAGTTTTTTTTTTCTTGAAACCATGTGAATGACACTAATAGGTGAAAGACATCCACTCAGTCTAAAAGTGACGCGGTGGTGTATGTCTCCCTCTAGTGTTCAACATTACGAAATACATCCCTGGCCTGTTTGTTACGTTAGATTTGGCAAACATTTGCTCGAGAAATAGAAGCAAGTGATCTGGCAGAAACAGGACCATGGATTTGATATTTTATATGCGTGATTTTATCTGAAAAACAACAAAACCATGTGGGCACCCGCTGTACAATCAAATCTGACTGTGGAAATAGAATGTTTGCTGTCACGGTGGCCGAGAGGTTAAGGCGTTGGACTCGAAATCCAATGGGGTTTCCCCGCACAGGTTCGAATCCTGTTCGTGACGTATTTTTCCCGGTCGCACCTTAACCATCCTTTTAAATCTGTACATAACAATATGAATCAATATCCTAGTTTTATTTTGGCCATGGATTCAAGACTAAAATGATATAACTAGCAACATTTTCAATGGAAAAAAACACTAAGTGATCAAAGCCAAACCTCTGATGTTACAGAAACTGAAAAGAATGATAGCATCACTGACTGGGCGCGAAGTTGGTGAATTACATAAATTATTACAACGTTATTACAACGCGTTTTAAGATGACAAATGTTGAGTCTCGCATGGGCATCCTTTTCTCGCGTTGACTTCCACAGAGCAAACCAACTAATTCACAAGAGAGCTATCAACCATGTTGTGAGTGGCAATATTTGCTTGGCCATCGATGTCTGCTCTGAAGCAGGAAGTTCAGAATACAGAGAAATATGACTTTCACGCAACATATATAATACGATAAAAACAACTATAGAAACAGTAACTTGCTGGATGTATTAATCACAAATCCACTTCTTGCACTTCCACTCACAACGAAAACTGGCTCTATGTGTAATACCACCGGGTGTAAACATTTATTATGTTGTATTTTACATACCTGTTGTGAAATGATTTTTTCAGGTTTGTATTTCTTTCCATGAAAGGTTTTAAATATATGTCACTCGAAATATGAAGGCCACGCCAACGTTCAAACTCCCAGGCGTCAAGTTTATTGGGCGACGTGTGATTGAAATTTTCCCCCTTCCCTTAAATCTGTAATGGTACAGTCCTGGCTGTATAAATAACACCGGCAGACACCCAAAAGTAGCTTTTGGGGGCAGTAGAGGCTTGAGAAGAGCCCGTGCAGAGAGCTGTTTGCACAGGCTTTTTATATTTAGCTTTGTTAGTTTGGCCCAGGAGAGGTTAAGACTCAGAACACCTTAATCCTAATCTTAATAATTTGAACCTGGCCTGGACTCGTTTAGAGTTATAACAAAGCATCTGGTCTGCCTACGGCCAACAAAAAACAGCTCTTTATATATTCTGAGACACACAAAGGAAACGTGCGTCAAACATCAGAGCAGCTTTATGACCGCTTTAGGATGAGGATCATTTTTCAGTCTGACAGCAGACTGTTGTTAATATTTCTGAAATGACTTCAGATTAGGGAATCCAGCGTGTTTTTTTGCCTGCGGAGACTACTCTAAACAATTCGGACTCATAATCTCAATATCTTGTTTGGTTTATGTTTTGACAGTTCGCTGGTCTTATTTGGGAAATGAAGTCGCTATTGTGACGATAGTCGGCCCGAAGAAAAACAGTTTTTAAAATGCATCCTGAAGCTAACAGGAGGTTGCTAACTGCGAGCTAACGGGCATTGCGTTAGCATTTTTTGTGCTTTTGAAAATTACGGTCACCTCATAATGTTCTTAATGCGTTCATTAATATCATAAACTTGATGAAGGCGTATAACTGACAAGAGTTTGAACTGTTAGACATTTTAAGCGAGTTTTGGAAGAGCGCTCCAGCTAAGGAGGCTAACTAGCACCACTGAGGCTAAAGCTAACAGTAACCGCTGATAAATAGAGTGAGTTAGCCAACCATGGCAGCACCTTCTAACGAGGCCTTGTTCCTCATCAAGGACGTCAAACCCGGCTCTAAAAACCTGAATATAGTGTTCATCGTGTTGGAAATCGGTGAGTTGTGAGGCTGAAGCAGCCACTCTGCTCCACAGCCACTCGTGTTTGTGTCTCTTAAAGGGACCGGCGGCAGCAGTGCTCTGTTCGAGCTAAACTCTGTTGCTGTTGCGGGAGCCTAGTTTTGTGCCACACTTCTCACTTTGGTTGTCTTGATTTTTTTTCTTTTCTTTTCTTAGGACGAGTAACTAAAACCAAAGACGGTCACGAGGTGAGGTCCTGTAAAGTGGCAGACAAAAGCGGGAGCATAGCCATCTCAGTGTGGGACGAACTGGGAAGCCTCATCCAGCCTGGAGACATCATCAAGCTCACCAGAGGGTAGGACTGCTCTTCAACATATTTACATCTCTGTTTGCTCTTAAATATACGGAAGAGGATCAGGGCCATTGGTAAAAAAAAAAAAAAAAATCTTAACTGATTTTTAAATTTAATTTCAGTTTAATATGGTGGAGAAAGTCAAAATTCTGACTTTTTAATCTCTGAATTCTGACTAATCTCTGAATTTGGACGTCATTTTTTAAATCTGAATTTGGACGTCATTTTTTTAAATCTCTGAATTCGGACTTTTTTTTAATCTGAATTCGGACTTTTAATTATCTCTGATTTCGGACTTTTAGTATCTCTGGATTCGGACTTTCTGTTTTTTTTAATCTCTGAATTCGGACTCTAATCTCGGAATTCAGACTTTTTTTCTCTCTCTGAATTCGGACTTTCTTTTTTCTTTTTTTTTTTTATCTCTGAATTCGGACTCTTGATCTCTGAATTCGGACTCTTGATCTCTGAATTCGGACTCTTGATCTCTGAATTCGGACTCTTGATCTCTGAATTCGGACTCTTGATCTCTGAATTCGGACTTTTTTTCTCTCTGAATTCGGACTCTTTAGTCTATGAATTCTTCCCATATTAACCTGAAATAAAATGTAATTCAAATTTTTTCAGCGGTTCTAATCCTCTTCCATATAAATGATTTCCATATGATTAATTCCCTTTTTTTTTTTTTTTGCAGTTATGCATCAATATGGAAAGGCTGCCTGACCTTATACACTGGGAGAGGGGGAGATCTTCAGAAGATTGGAGAGTGAGTGTGAATTAGTTATGGTCAATATTACTTTTAATCTTGGAGGATCCACACCATTTTTCCGCCCAAGTTTCACTTTTTGTTGTGGTTAATTCAGATGACGTGTTGTGAATTGGCGCTATATTAATAAACTGTATTGAAATGGAGTTAGTTCCCAGAAGTATGGGTTTGTATAATGTTGTTTAAAACTAGACATGTATTAGTTTAAATTCATATCCCCTTTGATAGGTTTGAATTAAATTGACTAAAAATAACTGTAATCATCTTTAGAAAAAAAAAAGAAAGGATCTAAGTTCTTCAGAAGTATTTCTTTTCAGTGTTTAGATATTGTGTAGATTTTTTTTCTTCATTTTTAAATTAAATTTAAAAGAATTAACATAACACTATTATAAATCTTTGGTTTGCAGCAAGGACACTTGATTCATTGAAGAGTTGCTGCTTTTCAAGAAACTTATCAAATTTACCTCCATGTGGCAATTCACTCAGGGGTACCAGACATTTTTTTTTTTACATAGCTTTAACTGTTTTACTTTTATTTTTTTATGTTTTACTTAATTTCTACTTATTTGTTTTGTTTTTAATTGGGATTATTGTAAAGCAATGACGCTCAAGCTTTTAAAGATTAGGGTTGCAACAGTTGTACGCCTGGTGATCTGTCAGATGAACATACCCCGTCAGACCAACACATTCATAGTCAATACACAAGACGTCAGATTTACGTTTATCCCTTTAGTTTTATACAAAAACTAGACTTTAAACTACCTCAATGGATGAGTACTTCTTTAGTCATGTAGAAAAAAAATAATTAAAGGTCAGATTGCCACACGCCACAAAAACCACAGAAAAATAAGTTATTTTTTTATTTTTTTAACATGACTAAAGGGATATAAGCCAGTTGCGGTAGTTTAAAGCTTATTTTTTGTACAAAATAAAAGGGATAAACAGGCATTAACTATGGGTATGCTGGTCTGACAGGGTAAGCTAATCTGACAGAACACCGGCTCTGATTTGCTTAATTTTGGGTCTTACTACCTCTGCAAATGTCTAAAAGTCAAACTGTCAATGCAAAGTATTATCGTGCTTATTAGAAATAAGTTCATATTTACCAGGTATTTAATTTTTTTGTCATCTTATTATAAGTGTATAAGAAAATATCGGTCAAAATTGAAATAGGCTGGTCTGGAATTTAAAGATCAGTTATCTAAGCCTAGTAAACTAGCCCCACCCACCAGCGGCCAAAATAACTTTTCCCTGCGAGTGGTCTAGCCTCGATCAATGCCCCAGGCCCTAGAACTGGCGAACCAATCACAACGCAGAGCTGCACGATGCTGGAGAAAACACAACCAGAAAGATGGCATGATTGAACAGTTCTCGTTTAACTCAGCTTTGGAAGGATTAAACTTGGGGTTTCCGTTGAAATGTGAGCAGGAAGAGGTTCTACGTTCACTAATTTTTGAGAAGGACATATTCGCCATTTTACCGACAGGCTGTTTGTTTACACTCGCCCACCAGCTTTTTGTCGCTCTTATTACGTCAGTCAGTTGTGCTCATTGGTCAGAGCGTCGGCCAATCGGAACAGACATAGTTTGAACGACAACGGTTTCTTATGTCTCATTCATCAGACCAGACTAAATTACACATTTAATCTCACATTTAGTCTGGTTTATTAGGCCACTGTTTATGATTTTACAAGAAAATGGAAGTAAATAAATAAAAATCGCGTAAAATAAAGTATGCCCTGAACACTTTTGATATTTAGTTTGGAAAATTACTTGAACTTTCTTGAACAGAATGGTTTTTGGTAGATTTGCATGCATGAGAAAAATAGGTGAGAAATGGCTGCTTTTTTTTTTTCTTTCTCTCCCAGGTTTTGCATGGTGTACTCAGAGGTGCCCAACTTCAGTGAACCAAACCCAGAGCTTCTAGCCCAAGCCAATCAGCAGAACAAGTCTGTGAGTAGCAATGCGCCTATTGAAACCTGTTGAGTCAGGCTAATGAAGAGCTGCATGATTTTTCTTTCTGCAGCCATCTTGTTAGTTGTAGTCTGTTTTATGTAAATACCTGCTATAAAAATGCAAATAAAACTAATCTGTATAATTTAGTTTAGGCCTTATATAGGTGGAGCTTTAGGCAGTGTACATATTTTTTTTGACAAGTATCGCTGAGATAAAGGAGCCGTTTTAATTAGGACATATTCTGTGTTGTAAACGGAGCCTCGGTAATATGTTGGAGTGTATATTTAATGGATTATAAGACAGACTTTGCTTCTAATGTCCTCCAAACAGGGTAAGCCTGACCAGAACCAGAGAGGAAACTCTCCACCCAATCAGAATTCAGGTACACCTGCTCCACCAGGTCAGTCACTTTTTTTTTGTGTGCAAGATACCAGGAACATTTTTTCCCCCCTTAATTCCTGTTTATGGAAAGCATAATGCTGAACATCTAACATGAGGCTCTGGTGTTTTCACAATTACTGCATTTGTGTTGCTTCACCCACAGGTAATGGTGCCATGCCGCCGTTTGCCAATAACCCAACACCAGGCGCGCCCCGTGACCCGACATTTGGCGGTGTGGGGCGTCCAAACGGCCGGTCCACTGGAAACGGTGCGCCGCCCATCAACGCTGCTGGACCTCCAACGACCACAAAGTCCTCAGTCACCATTAGCAACGGCAGGGATCCACGACGTGCCAAAAGATGAAACCGGAGCTGAAATGGAAGGGGAAAGAAAACAAAACAAAAAACTAAACATGGTTGTCCTCATTTCCTCCTCCTTCACCACTGCCTGTGATGGCCTTCACTATAAGGAACCGTTTTATACAGTCAAAGGTAGTCAGACGCATCGTTTAGTCTTAGTGAGTAGTGCGCTCTATAAGCACCACATCCAGATCTACACCGTCAGAACTTTACGGACGGAGACCTGATGATGGTGTTTGATCCTGTAAACGACCAGCTCTGTGCCAGTGTTATCTCTCCCTTCTTATTCTTTCAGAGAACACATCCTACTTGAACACTTGATGCACTTTCTCCTCTTAATTTATGTCGAAGCTTGGCTGTCATTTAAAATCAGGAAAAGGCTTTCTTTTTTTTATTGTTTTGAAGTGGAAGATGCCTTAAGTGGGTGAGAATCAGTTCTAGGACTGGATGCTGAAACGAGTCCCTCTGAGAACAGGTTCGCTGTGAGATTTTAATCAGTCATGTGGACTTCTGACCATGTTTCACGTTTTTTTTTTTTTTTTCCCATTTGCTGTGAATTGTAAGTTTATCACTTAGGACCACATACAGACACAACGGTTCAAGAAATAAGCAATTATGCTGCCATATTGGTTCTTTTTTTCCATAAACTACTGGCATAAAATTCTGACATTTTTTTGGTTTACCGACTGTAATGGCGCACATGTTTTTCTTTTTCCCCCATCTTTTTAGATTAATTTTAGGTGTAAAATCTAATTTTCAAGTGATTATTTTTTCCTGAGGAGAAATAAAACGGCTCATCAGATAAACATTGTGCATTTCTGGCTTCTACCAGAAGCATCATCAAGGTGCCACAACTGAACTGGATTAGCAAAAATAAAACTGTATGCATTCTACAGCACCATCTAGTGTCAAGAACATGATTATTTTTCTTCCTGTTTAGATGTTTGAGCTCAAAGTGAAGAAGTGCACAGTGTGTTTTCTCTGGAGATGTCTGCAAGAACTGCTCCATTTCTGAAGCAACACATTGCTTAAACCAAAACCTCAAGTTTCCTCATTTTTTTTGTTGCACCAAGCACCTAAACGTTTAACACTGTTCCCCCTCTTTACATTTTAATGCACACACTTTAATATAAACAGCAGCTGATCAGAGGCCAGCCTGGAATCTATTTAATGAATGTGAATTTTCAACAAATCTTGTCAAAAGCAGAGCTTAAACATCTGCAGTGGTAGAAGTACTAAAGAACCTTAAGAGTTCAGAAATGTAAACAAGTTTATCCTGCATTAACTTCCCTTTATTTTTTTAAACCTTTTTCCCCCAGCTTTTTTAATAGTGATTACACTGTCACAAGTACAGAGCGATGAAATGAACCCTGCATTTAACCCATCCACTTGGGGATCAGGGGGCTGCCATTGTGCGGCGCAGGGGCAGCAATGTGGGGTTTAGGGTCTTTGCTCAGGGACCCTAACCTGACTCCGCCAGATGGATTTGCTCCGCATATCCATCTGGATATCCATCTGGTAACTTTCCGTTGAAGTAATTTTG